CCGCGCGACTAGGTACGCTGAGTCGACGGCTAAACGCGTCAAGTGGTCGCCTACCCGCGCGACTAAGCAAGCTTCTGGTGACCGCCTAATCGAGTCTTGGCTAAACAGCCGCGCGACTAGCCACGTCGAGTTGACGGCTAAACGCGTCAAGCAACAGCTTACCCGCGCGACTAGACGCGTCATGCCGATGCCTAAACGCGTCAGGAGACGTCCGACTAAACGCGCTTTCGTGCTAAAGATTCACCATTCGATCAAACCAGTCTACAAATTCACTTAGAGTCTTTCGAACTCATAAGTGAACTGGGGGGACTTATTGTGGGAGATGGATTATACTCCTCCGCAAGGCCCAATCGAATGGGAGAATTTAGCCCAACGCGATAACATATTCGGCCCATTAACCTTACTGGAAGCAACTCGGCATGACGACGCGTTTAGACGCACAACGAAGAGCGTCTCAAAAGGTTGAGCAAAAGACGGTTTACCCGGATACGCTAAACAGGCCCAACAGGAATAGAGTCCAGTAAGGCCCGGGCAAATTAGGGCGAACACACGGACATGGTCTATATAAGCAAGGAGGCAGCAAAGAGAAAGGGGATCCGGAATTCGACATACTCACTTGACGGCTAGATCTAGGGTTTTCTAGTGATTAGGTGGTTAGATCTAGGGTTTACTCACCCTCTCGTTTAGTCACCTCCCTGTTTAGTCACCTTCCCGTTTACTCACCATCTTGTACTTCCGGCTAGTCCGTCGACTTACTCTCTTCTTTGTAACTCCTTGCTCAGATCTAATAAAACGTCTTTGTTCACCCTCACCCCTCTCTCTTTATATTGTTCAAACCATTTTCACCTCAAACAATAAGGTATCCGATTTAATATCAGAATCAATGGTTAAAGCTCTTCACCTTCTACTTTGCTATGGTTATACCGTTTGATCATGAGATTGAATTCTCTATTGGTTGGAAACGCTTAGGCTTTGGTTTTGACGTGGTATCAATCTTCGATTCTGTGTTAAGACGAAGTATCCATGATAATCAAGGTTTGAGATTTAGATTTTGCTTTGAGAATCAAGTGCAGAACGCAGAAGAGTTGGAGCTGCTTTATCGGTGGTGTTCCGACAAGGTCCTGTTCTTGTTTCTTCTAAAGCTTTTCTCTGGAGTTAACTTCCGGCGATTTGGGAACAACATCTTATGATCAACGGCGATTGAAGAGATTGAAGAGTGTGCAAGCAGATTTCAACTGAATCGGAAACAGAGATTGACGAGATTCCGGCAAGGTTTCCGGCACCGCTTTCTCTTTCTTCGGCTCCGCAGGAAAGAAGCCACGACGACAAACAAAATGTGTCAACCATGCATTAAACCTTATCCTTGTTGTTGTAGGGTTTCTTTTGGGGTTAATTAAAAATGTAATTAGTTGGTCTGTTTGTATTTGTGCCCATTAGGCTACTCTAATGACAAGAGAAAGTTGACAAAAAAAAAAGAATTCATTGATGAACAAGACAGAACACCTCATGTAATAAGATTTTGTTCTCGGGAGACTAACATATACTACAAAAATCAATAAATAGAGATAACTTAAGAAAATAATTAAAATTTATGTTTTGTCCTTATTAATACATTTTATTAATTTTATTAATAAAATATAATTAATTAATGAACTAAAAGTAAGGATAAAACTAAAAAAAAATATTAATTTTCACCTTGAAAATATAAAATAATATTTATAATGAAAATTTTAAAAGATCATATACTATATGTTACAAAAGAACAAAAAAAAAAGATAAAGCTACACAATAAATATGATTGATTGAGTTTACCCAACCAAAAAGAAAGAAGCACTACAGAGTTAGCAATCAACAAATTTAGAAGCTAACTTTATATTCCATTTCCTGAGAGTACAAGACAATTGTGCTAAAACCATGAGAGTAATAAAAATATTAATAAAAGTTTTTATTCTCTAAAAATTAAAAATTGTATGTGAAGATAAAATTTAAAGAATTTTGAATGCCAAATCATATTTTAATTTCAGCGTTGTTTATTTTTCAAGACTGAAGTATTATAAGTCTGAAATAAAAACAGAACTTGACAAAAGGTGTAAAGATTCCATGACATACAAAAATGGATGTTACAATTTTTTTTCTACTTACATTCTAAGTAGAGCAATATATTCTTTAGATGTTGGAGTCTTTAGTGAAGTATATTACATAAATATATATATATATATATAGGGAAAATCGCATAAAAAACCTTCAAGGTGGTAATTATTTACATTTTAAATCCAGAGAGTATTTTACAAGCACTTTAAACACTCAAGTTGGCAAATTTAGCATATTAAACCTCAAATCTGGCTTATTAGTACATCAAGCTAAAAATGTGTCAGGTACTGTTCAAAATCGATGACGTGTCGGTTTGTGTTTTTTAAAAAAAAAAATATTTTACTAATAAATAAATTGAAAAATACAGAAAATATAAAAATTCATTAAAAATCACTAAAAATTCATTAAAAATTGAAAAAAATCATAAAAAATTCAAAAAAATCAGAAAAATCATAAACATTAAAAAATCACAAAATAATTAAAATATTTTATTAATAAAATATTAAAAATAAGAAAAACGTAAAAGAAATTACAAAAAATCCCAAAATAAGAAAAATCACAAAATTTTAAATAAAATAAAAATTAAATTTAAATAAAATTAATAAAAGAATAATTGATAAAATAAATACAAATTCAAGAATAAATAATTTTATTTTTTTTATAAAAAAACGAGAAATATTCAAGTGATGAACTAATGATTCTTTTTAAAAAAACTTTAATTTGTTTGCTTTGATTTGGTTCACGAGAATCATTTGAAGATAATGATTCTTTTTAAAAAAATATATAGTGTGTTCTCGTTTTTTTATAAAACAAATAAAATTATTTATTTTTGAATTTATATTTATTTTATCTATTATTCTTATATTAATTTTATTTAAATTTCATTTTTATTTTATTTAAAATTTTGTGAATTTTCTTATTTTGGGATTTTTTATAATTTCTTTTAAGTTTTTCTTATTTTAAATATTTTATTAATAAAATATTTAATTATTTTTTTGATTTTTAATGTTTATGATTTTCTGATTTTTTTGAATTTTTTATGATTTTTCAATCTTTAATGAATTTTTAATGAATTTTTATATTTTTTGTATTTTTATATTTATTTATTAGTAAAATATATTTTTTTTTTTAAAACACAAACCAACACGTCATCGATTTTGAACAGTACCGGTCGCTTTTTTAACTTGATGTACAAGTAAGCCAGATTGGAGGTTTAATATGCTAAATTTGCCAACTTGAATATTTAAAGTGCTTGTAAAATACTCTCAAAGTTTAAAGTGTAAGTGGTTGCCACCTTGAATGTTTTTTATGCGATTTTTCCAATATATAAACTGACTAAATTTATAAGGATATGGATTACATTAATATTTTCAGACAATAAGTATTTTCTAAAGAACTATATTTGGTTTGAATTTATAAATCCCTAACATAAGAAGATAATGAGTGGCCAAAAACATAAAAATAAAAATAAAAGGTTACACATAAAGTTAAATATATTAAAAATACTTTATTAAAAATATTATGTAACATTTTAGTAATATTATTTCCTCAATTATACTTAAAACACATATAATCAATTATTAACCATTAAAATTATAATTACTTATTTTTTATGGATGCAATTATGCAAACTATGAATAACAAACAATCAATATAATAATGTCTAAGAAAACACAAAAACTCAAATCATAATTTGTTTTATTATTTTAAATATTTTAAAATGATTTGATGTAATATAAAGTGAAATAATTTTAAAAGTAAAAAAAAAATATATAGCACACAATCGGATAAAAGATCTAGTTTTCACTAATAAATGAAAAGAATTTTATCTAGTGAAAGCAGTCCTTAGTATTTACGTCGTACTTATCTATGCTCTACTTACAATGCATAGAGATCCGTCTTTATCGACTGCTTAAAATCTGTCGGCTGAGATTTCCAGAAGATCTTTAAAGTAGAGATAGTGGACGACTTTTGTGCCCAAGTAATAATAATATCAAACTATGATCCAATAATGTAATTATACATGTATTAACATGTGTCTCAGTGTCTACCTACTCTGTCTTTAAAGACGTCGATTAGAAATATCTTAAAGACTAGTAGTGACTAGTGAGGTTGCCCTTTATCGAGTTTAAAGTTTCTGCACAGATGTAATCAACAACCCACCATATGAGCCGGCGCGACGTATGATTTCTTTGATACCTATCTCATTTAAGTACCGCTTTCATTTTAGGATGAATCCAAAAGCTACAAATAAATATTTTGTTATTTAAGTACCACTAAAACTTTGTCATTTTCTGAAAATAATTTACTCATACTTATGTTTTAATAAATTTACATTTTAATAAATTAAAATTTTGTTTTCAGAATTGAAGTTATATATTTTAAATGTCATCATATAATTAACTGAATATTTTAAATCATATACATCATAAATGAATCCGAATCATATCGAATAATATAGTTACTTTTGGTTATATGATTATTTTTAGTTTGGATTGAAAATATTCGAATCAAATTAATTAATATGGTTATTCTTGGTACAAATATATGAACATGTTTCGGATATTAGTTTTTTGGATTTTTTGTATACTTCAAAATTGAATTCATACGGAGTTCATATTCAGGCAAAACAATAAATAAAATTATTACGATAAATGAAGTAATTATTAAAAAAACATAAATAAAGTAATTATTTAGAAAAGATAATAAATAAAATGATTAAAATTAAATAAAAGTGGAATGAAATACTTAGAAATAGGTAAATATTGTTTTATACTTTTGTTTTAATAGAATATGTAATCTTTTCTATTGCACTACAGATTACTTATTCGTCTTCTGTCATCCCTCCTCTTTATTTTCTATAAATAGAGAGAGCATGCAAGGCAAAATTTTATTCATCTCTTCTTTCTCCATACAGAGAGTGACAACTTATATGCAGTTGAAAAAAATGCCATCATTCAAAAGTTTGCTTATCTTAGGTCTTTTTTCATTTCTTCTCGTTGTCTCTGAAATGACCACGGCATCTGCAAGGCAGTCGGGTACCTAAGACCATCCACAATGGTGGATTTGTGGATGGAGTCCTTACTAATAAAAAAATAATTTTTTTTTTGTTTGAATAGTTAAGGATTTCAATTCAAAAATGTAGGTGCATTGGTGTTATTCGAAATGGAATCCTTAGAAATTAAAAAATATTAAAAATATAAAATTGGAAAAATAAAAATTTTTTATTAGAAAGTTTTTTTTTAAAAACATACATTAACTTTTATTCTAAATATTCTCAATCAAATCATTTTTTTCACCCTTTCGATACCAAATGAATTTTTTTCCCAACATGAGAAAATCCTATTGCTCACCGGCCCAACCAAACGAGGACACGTGTACGAAGGACTGATTGTTTCGGGTCCTTACACAAGGACTCAACCGTACAGATCCTTCTAATTTTGAGCCCAAAAAGATTTATTTTTAATCCAAAATACGTAAGGATTCGACCCACGTACCCCCGTTGCGGGTGGTCTAAAACTATTTAATAGAAACCACAAAAAAATTCGTGAGACTATTTTTATCTGTTTTAAGTTTGAGGAAATTGGTATCAAATCCTTGTTATATGTATATCAACTCCTTGTTATACGTATTAGACCCTCCCAAAATATTTTAGAAGTTTGATGCGATTTTATAGAACGTTAGTTTTATATTTATTGAAAAGTGAGATTTCCATTTTACACAAATCTTAAAAGGTTTAATAGAAATTTAACATCAAAATGAGGGAGACGAATGTACATAGCACTAAGCAAGTGTTAAAACTTTTTAAATAATGTGGTGTTTATGGGGGCAGGCATGGTGAAGTCAGGAAGTGAGGAAACTGTACACCCTGATGGATATGGAGGTGGGCATGGAGGAAATGGAGGAGGTTATGACGGAAGAGGAGGACACAACGGAAGAAGAGGAGGCCACGGGGGCAAAGGAGGAAAAGGTGGCCACGGAGAAGAAGCTGTTCAGACTAAGCCTGGTCACTAAATTATATATAATATATTTAGAATTTATACACATATATATGTTTTAAAAAGACAGAAAAGAAATATAGTTTTGAAAATGGTCAGCTGAATGCACGTTTATACGTACTAAACAATTCTTTTGAAATAATATTGTATTTATTTTTGGAACAGACGCGGTGAACTCAGAGACTGAGGAAACTGTGAAACCTGATGGATATGGTAGTAGCCACGGGGGCCATGGAGGCCACGGAGGCCACGGGGGCCATGGTGGACACGGAGGCCACGGGGGGAAGTTATTCTGACTCAGTCCGGTCACTAAGTATCCATAATCTATCCGTGTATGCACTTACCTGTGTGTATGACGATGAAATAAACTTGGTGCTTTTGTAATAAAGTAACTCAAGGTTTAAGAAAATAAACTATGGGAATAAAATGTCATAATGTCATGTCTCTGTGTTCGAGTTGAGATTTGCGCATAGTCAGTAGTTTACGTTGTTGCTCTTTTACATCTCCATCCCTAACGTGAACTAATAATCACTAGGTTAATATCTAGGTTAATATCTGCGCATTTACGCGAGATAGAATTATATATAAAAATTATTTTCTATTTTATTTTTTATTTTGTATTCTTTTATATATTATAATATATATATAAATAGTGAATAATTAAAAAATCTGTAACTATTATATATATAATTAATTTAATGAACACTTCAATAAAATAATCTTATTTTTTTATTTACAATCACTTTATATAAGTAAATCTAATTAATAAATATTATTAACATATATATATATATATATTATACTTTTAATTTGTATATATAGTAATTGAAGCTTCACGCTTACATGGTTTTATGACTATTTGTTCAATAATAATAACATCAAAATTCTCAATGTGAGCGATTTAATATTTACACTAATTTATTATCGTTTAAACAATTAAATTCAAAGTTTGTAATTAAAGTATTAACTTTTCAATACTTGTTCAACGCAATTTTGAAACTAAATATATATTTATTCTTAAATGGTTTTTAGTTTAATTTAAATATCACTAATATATATATATATATATATATATATATATATATACATCTAACTTAAATATTTGTTAAATAATATTTTTTTATTCACTAATTATATAATTGTTTGTATCGTGCTGTAACAAAAAATAAATTAAATTAGTAATCAAAAATATTATATGTGAAATTTTTAAAAAGTTTATTAATTTATAGTCATTCTTAAAAATTCAAAATATAACATTTTATTATATAGTTAATAATATTGTTTAATTTATTTTCACAATATATTTTTTTTTTTAAAAGTAGATGCTATACAATTTTTTTATCAAATCTTACATATTCAAATTATTAATTATCATATATATATATATTATAACCATATTAGATAATTCCGTAAATTTTATGTAAGAAAATAATGATTAGCAATAATAATAGTTGTATGATTAGTTCAATAAAAATTATATTATATGTTTATATGGACAAAAAATTTCTCTAGTAAATTTGAGAAGCATTCTCATGATGTCATGTGGATACCAAAACATATTGTAATGCTTTTTGATTAATATATAGGAAATTTTTTATAATTATATTAATAATTTAATATATGTTATGTAACTATTTAAAAAATAAATAAAAAATTATAAAATAACACCTGCTATATGAAAATACTTGTGGTTTCTCATTTGGAAAACTATTTTATACCGTTATTACGTTTAAGAAAATATCCTCATAGAGCTAGGTACTCCGTACTTCTAGGTTTTGTGTAACTTCAAAGTAAAGATCATAGACAATAAAAATGTTTAGATTTTTGTTACTAAAACAACGAAATATGAAAAGTAATAGTAAGCAATGTAAACTAAATTAATGTTGGAAGTCATGACTCAAATTATACAGTATTCATCAATGAAAGACAAATACATATTTTTCACTGAACTTGAAACACTATCTCACGTTCTAAAATTGATTCATGATACTGAATCTAAATCACATTTCACAAGTAAAAGAAACATATTAACACAAAGCTGTTTAATCACTACAAGAATTACTAAAATAGTGCTGATTATTATGTAGTTATAACACACAATTTATAGTTAAAATTAGACAGGAAGCAGATGTCAATAGATCTATCACACTGCCTCAGCGCCAACGCTGAATGGATTCGTAGCTAATCTATAGCACACTAGCAAGGGATTAGCAAGATCAATTTCTGTAGCCAATTGTGACAGTGTAACAATGACTTATTATGTTACTAATTATTGAAGACTTAGGCTAATAATTTCTTTATAGCTCAGAGGCTACAAATTTTAGTGACAATCTCTCCGAACAAGTTTATGGCTAATGTAGCTACAAAATTAATTAAGACTATTTGTTTATCACTAAATAAATCAAACTATACAAATTGTCTTACAATCATATAATATTTTTTTTTTGAAACACATATATTAAATGATAACCAGTTAGTCGGGAGCATTAAGAGCATTCCCACCAACCAAGAGTTCAGACACAAATAAAACACCTTTGGCTAGGCCATCAGCGATTACATTCCTCAACCGAGGTATTCAAACAAAAGAAACAGAATCAAAACAAGCAGTCCAGTTAAGGATATCAGAAACAATGCTATGGAGCTCAGGAACAGGTTCCCGCGATGATGCATTTGATTAGTTGAGCAGAGTCAGATTCAAATCGTACATTATTTATCTCCAATCCTCGACAAGTGGAGACAGCTTCCCTGAGAACGAGTCCTTCAGCCATAAATATAATAAAAATCATCGTGTATCATACAAATTGATTAAATAGTCTACAAAAAAAGTTCAAATCTAAAAAATAGGATTAATATTCTAAATATATAGCATCTACTCCAATTCAGGTAACTAACCATATGATTCATGCACATGAATTTTCAGTGTTAAATCTATGTGTATACTAATACACCAGCAACAAGCATTAAAAGTAGACAAATAATTATCTTGACCTAATAAGTGTCAATATAGAACTGAAACCTGTCTACCAAACCATATAGATTCTCCTTAAAAGTCCTAATCCAAAATACATTAGATCTAGTCAATCATGATAAAAGAGAGTTTAAAGGATAATTTTTCACAAATGAATGGGATTCATAAAACTTCCATAAAGTGAGAGATATGAGATTTTTGACGAATGAAAATACAAAAAAAAAAAAATACTTTAGAAGTAAAGCAAAAAGTCGAAACTACAATAAGTAGTGTTCAAGCAAGATATTGGTAAAGCTTGGTGAGATCATTGCGAAAGGATTTTAAAAGGTGCACTAAGGGATATACGAGTGTGGCCTTGCCAGCCATCGTTGCATGAGGCTTATGTATAGTTTTTTTAACAACAAAAGACCATTATATTACTTAAGTTTGAAGTGATTTTGGTAATTATACCGAAACAAAACAACCACAAAACAAACAAAGATATGTATGAAAAAATCGAGCGGTTCTAGTAAGTGAGCAACAGTTTCATTTTTTTCCTCTAAAAGTATAACATATCCTAAAATTTTAAATTTCCTCTTCAGTTTTTGTATCTCCTTCAATCTATCGAGAAATTTGGCTATGAATGAGGTTCCCCTAACATTGCTACTTTGCAGTCCATCTTAAAGAGCTGACATACAAAATACTTTCCATTTCCTAGCATAGCGCTTCCAACTCCACATGCAATACATATTTTCTTCGTCTTTGGTTTCTTATACCCATAAGTTGTATACATCTATTGATATCTTTCCACATTCATCCACATCCACTAATGATCAATGTAGAGGTCCAAGAACCATATACTCCCTCCGTTTCAGTTTAATTGTCATTCTATGCTCTTGCACACAGATTAAGAAAATAGTTAATTTTACATATTTTCAAAATAAAAACACAATTACATATACACCTAACCACTTTTCAACCAATGAAAAAATAGAATGACATTTAAAATCAATAAATTTTGCATTGAAATTATAAAGCGACACTTATTTTGAAACAAAATTTTTACTCTAGAATGACATATAATTTGAAACGGAGGGAGTATCAAATATATACTATATAGTTGCTACTGGTGTTCGAAAAATAGTAATTGGTTCATTTGTCGTAAACCTTGTTTGGCATTCTCCTTCTACATATCGTGTTAACTCAAGCGGGTCTCGATCAATATATTTTCACTCTGTCAATGAGATTCTCAATCTTATAATGATAAGCTATGTATTACCGAAATTAATTTTACTAGACAACTTATCTGAATTTGATTTTTCTTTAATCATCTAAGAACAAACTTTCATTGGCCATGTGGAAATCATGAAAACTAAAGCATTAGGTATGGTTGCTTGTCCCAATACTAAAACCACGACCACCACGTCACCAACATTTTGAGAATCCGTCAATAGTGCTTTTTTCATGTCGTTAGGATCCAGTAACCATAAAATTATCAGCAAAGATTTTGGAAGAGATAGAAGTAATCTAAGCTTGGGCGAAACCGTTACATTAGAATAAATATGGGAAGCACAACTGTGACATTCAGTTTGTTTCACTTAGAGTTTAGCAATTCAAATTCTAACCAAAGATAGCTAATCCAAAATTGATTCATATCATTATCACTCACACCTGAAGATGTCACAGCATGTAACTAGTAAGTCATCAGATGACTCTTGTTTCAGAGTTGAGTTAGTTTAGATCTGCCTTAAATTCTAGGTGGCAACGAAATGTAATTGTTCTATTTATTTTACTGCATCTGTTTAGGGGGGGATCTGAAAATTTGGAGGTTCTAAACATTTCTTAAAGTTTTGTTATAGAATTTATTTTCAAAATTTAAGGATCTATTTTTATGTAAAAAGGTTACAAAATTTTTGGAAGCCAAAACCATAGGACTGATCCAAATCTGGTCCAGCATATTCCAAGTGAATTATTTTTATGTAAATAATTATATAAATAAGAATATATTAGTATATTTTATTAATTTTTTAATCCGCCTAAATGTGTCTAAGTGGCAAAAGCAATAAGATTTTTTGGACTTTAACTTACAAAAAGAGAAAAAATCTCTACAGTTAATCGGGAACTGAAACGTCGTCTTCAAGTTGGTTTATAACAGTCTTTTCTCCCGAAGATTGCTGTGTGTATGTCTGAAGCTTCCAAGGATGGTGGATAAACACTTCTTCAAGCCTCTTCTTCCTGGATTCCACATTCACTTGGTACTCTCTGTCTTTCCCATTTTCATATCTATCTATGTCTCTACCTGAGCAGCTAACCAAGAGATGGGTTTGTTTTTGTATTTGCATGTTGGTCCAGACAATTCCTGAAGCCTTCTTCTTCAATCATATAGAAGGAAAAAATGATCAGAAGACTGCGAAGCTCAGATCAGACGCGTCAAAGAAAACCTGGGAAGTGAAAATAGAAGATGGCCATAAACTCACTGATGGCTGGAACGAGTTCGCTCTTGCACACGATCTTCGAATCGGTGATATTCTCATTTTCAGACAAGAGAAAGACATGGCTTTCCACGTGACACTCTTGGGTCCCAGTTTCTGTGAGATTCAGTATTGGTCTTGTTTAGAAGACG